GCGACCGTGAAACATGGACGGATTTGAATAATGGTGTCGGGCCTTGTCTGGTTTGGAGGGAAATCTGAACTGATTCTTTTTGACGAGCAGTTGAATGGTTCAAAATTTTGTCAAATATTAGAGAAAGGACTACTCCCACTATTTGAAACCAATCAGATTGACAAGAATGTCTCCCTTTTTTAAAGAAGATGGAGCGCCATGTCATACGAGCAAAGTAGCAAAGGCCTGGAAGGAATGGCAAGGAATCAAGTCACTGCCATCGGTAGCCCAAAATCCTGACATGAATCCAATAAAGCACGTTTGGGAGTACCTTGACCGAAGACTTTGAGAGCGTGCAACCAAAATCACGTCAGTGGCAACCTTGAAAGAAACATTGCTAAAGGAGTGACAAAATACGAATCAGACGATTGTTGATAACTTGATCAAATCCATGAAAAATTGAATACAAGCGCTGAAACTAGCAAATGGAGGACCTACTCCATACTAGTTCCAAATACTGTTTATTTATGTTGAGTTGGGATTATGTAATTAAATTTTGAAATTGGATGCAGTTTATTTCCCCTTGCTAAAAAGTTTTCTTTGGCCACTGTACAACTATCGTACGCCGTTGAACAATGCCGGTGTCAGACGCCTTTGAATAGCATTCGCACAAATTTCTCGATAATACTCGCTCCAATAGAAATCCGTATAGTGATCCAAATAGAGAAATAGTATAGTGAATAGAGTACAGAATAGCGGCCGTATAGTAATAGAGGATAGAATAGAAATAACGATCAATTAGACGTCACGCTACCTTCTATGTATGCGTTTCCTCTATGGTCACGTGGTCTACTTAATTCAATAATGGGATCGCCTGTGTTTGCTCACTGGCGATCTATGTTCAAACTCAAGTGCCGGCATCGGCACTTTATTCCCATATAAGAGTTAAATTGATGATAGCTCCACCACTTTAGAGCTAAGACCCGCCCTGCTTTGTCCACAGGACCCAATTATTCATATTCCCTTCGTATTGTGTTTGTAAGAAGGAAGTTTCACTCTCAGACAGGTTCTTCCCAAGATTTGACACTTTGTGAAGCAGACTCCTGCGTGGATACTTTCCCAAATTATCTTAATCTCTTCAGTTTTACGGTCAGCAATTTTCCATCCTCATAATCTTCCTCTTACGTTCATGTCACACACCTCATTCAGTAACCCTCTACATTGAGTGGCTCTTGGGTGCTTAATGGAGGCACATTAGTAAAGAAAAAAGTAAATTATAAAGACTAGACTTACTTGTTTTGTGAGGCAGCCAGCCTAACAGAAGTATACTCTGTTAGACACTGCAGGCATGATGGAGTGAGGCATAATTATTAAAAGGATATGGCACTAAAAAAGGTAAATAGTGCTAGACACAAACTGGCAGTCAAGTTGGTCATCATGCGAACTAGTCACCTAAAGCAGATTATAAAATGCCTTTGATTCAGGAGAAGGTACTATACTGTGTTTTTATATTACTTGGAATTAAGTTACAAATAGGAAAAAGAACGTACAATGACTTTATATATATATATATATATATATATATATATATATATATATATATATTATTATCTATTTCTTTACTTGTGGGAAAATACACGTCGAAGAAACAAACCGGAAAGCGTTTCTTCAAGTGACCATTTTAGGATATTTGTTCCTTATTATTTTAATTCTCTTATCTATCTATATGTCTATCTCAATCTGTTCATATCTATCTATCTATCTATCTATCTATCTGTCTATATATATCTGGCTATAAGTCTGTTCATATCTATCTATCTATCTATCTATCTCTGTTTTATATATATATATATATATATATATATATATTTATCGATTTCAGTTTTTTCTCATCTATCTATCTGTGTTCACATCTCTCTCTCACACTCCTCTCTCTCTCTCTCTCTCTCTCTCTATATATATATATATATATATATATATATATATTATTTATTTTAGAATATTACATATAAATATATATATATATATATATATATATATATATATATATATATCAGTCTGTTCATTATCCATGTATCTCAGTCTATATCTGTTTAAGTGTATTCACATCTATCTATCTTTCTCCGTTCATTTTCTAGCAAACTCAGTCTGTTAATATCTATCTATTTATCTGTCTATAACAGTCTGTTCATATCTTTTGTATATACCTCTGTTTATATCTATTTATCTTTCTCAATTAGCTTCAACAGTTTATTTATCTATCTATCTATCTATTTCAGTCTATTCATATCTATCTATCTATCTATCTATCTATCTATCTATCTATTTCAGTCTATTCATATCTATCTATCTATCTATCTATCTATCTATCTATCGCATTCGCTTTAAATTGCCTTTTTCTATTCAATCAACATCTATTGTGTTCCAACAGAAAAATACTACGTTGGACGAATGCAGCTTTTCTTTTATAGTCATCCTCATTGAATGTTAACATGTAAACAGGTACCCTGCTTATCAATATGCACTCTCTACTTTTTTCACCTTTTGGGCCACCTTTTCTTCTTGCTAATCACGCTCGTTAATTCCACGTTATATAAATACTTCTATCGTTAATTGAACGAAAAGAAACGAATTATTTTTTTTATTTCTTTTGTAATGTCTTAATTCATTAACTTTTCTCTCAAACATTTGTCAAATGATTGGGCGGGTAAAATCACTCATTATTTAATTGTGCAACTAAGAGAAAACATTATTCCCAACATCTTTACATCAAAAACTGATACAAACATCCAAAATCTGTCTATATTTCTGAGATGAGGTATTGTCACTATTTATACTATTTACATTATCCAGACTGTTGTCCTCATCTTTATTGCCATATTCACCTTCAACATGTCTATATTTCTGAGATGAGGTATTGTAAGTATTTATACTATTTACATTATTCGGACTGTTGTCCTCATTTTTATTGCCCTAATCACCTTCAACATCTGTCTTCATTTCTGAGGTGAGGTATTGTAACTATTTATACAATTTACATTATTCGGACTGTTGTCTTTATCTTTATTGCCATAATCACCTTCAACATCTGTTTATATTTCTGAGATGAGGTATTGTAACTATTTATTTTATTTACATTATTCGGACTGTTGCCCTCATCTTTATTTCCATAATCGCCTTCAACATCTGTCTATTATTTCTGAGATGAGGAATTGTAACTATTATACTATTTACATTATCCACACTGTTGTCCTCATCTTTATTGCCATATTCACCTTTAACATCTGTCTGTATTTCTGATATGAGGTATTGTAACTATTTACACTATTTACATTATTCGGACTGTTGTCCTCATCTTTATTGCCATATTCACCTTCAATATCTGTCTGTATTTCTGAGATGAGGTATTGTAACTATTTACACTATTTACATTATTCGGACTGTTGTCCTCATCTTTATAGTCATATTCACGAAATTTCGGCCGGTCTATACTCAAACATTCTTCATGGCCATGTGGATAAAGGCGTTCTTTGAAGTAATCTAGTGACGTGACCCAAAGTTTTGTGTGTTCAATACCCGGCCACAGCTGAGTTGAATAAAACTTGGAGAGTTGAGTTACTAAACGGAAATAACTGGAATTGTGATACCCAGAAAAGATATGGCACGTAGAACTAGAACACTCGACGCCAGTGGACGAAAAAAAGGGTTCGGTTCAAAATTCTAACGTACATCATCTGGAGAAGCCCGGTGTGTATAACGGCCGAAACGTTGTGAAGATGACAATAAAAAAAACGAGGGCAACTGGAAATAGTGTAAATAAGCATCGAAAATATTGCCTTGTCTAGTTCAACCAATTTCCATTTTTCGAAACAGAAATTGCTGTGAAAGTGAATCGAACAAGTGAATCTTAAATGTTATTTTTGCAGCATCGTAGCCTGTCATGAAAGATTCAGGAAAATACTCCTTGTGATGTCAGTATTTCGCGAAAAGGCGGTAAAACAAGTTTATTGTGAATATGCCTATGAATATGTTGACAAAACCTTTTATCAATCTCGGGAAATACTGTTCATTGTCAATGCTTGTAAATAAAGGTATTTTTAGATTTGATGCAAAATCTACTAAACTTTTGTTAAATTTTCAAAAACACATATTATATAACAAGTCAGAAATCCGTTAAAGAAATGCCAACATTCAGCGACCTGCAAGCCCGACATCTTTCACTATCATACGGGAAAATAAAAGGCACATTCACTATCTTGTGCAATGATTTGCATGGAAATAAATCTATGGCGTAAAGAATAATGTGCTTATATAATTAAAAACCCTCATAGGCTTGCGTGTATTCTGATCACAAACAATGTACGTCTATAGGTCTATGCATGCGTTTTAAAAACGGTAATTCCGGTGCTATGATTAAGTATATATTCCCTTTATTTCCTCAAAACAAAAGACATCACCATATTTTCTATGTAGTTAATTTTTTATTCCCTCACAAGAGATTGAAATGAAACAAAAGACAGCAGCAAAATATTTTTGAACTCTTTCTCACGCTTTTTCTAAGCCAGATGCCAATGTGACATTTAATCATTTACGCACGACAAAGCTTTCTCTGCTTATAAAAATATTATTGAGGATAATTGAATTCATTTAATTTCTTTTCTCTTCGTGTTAACCATTTGTTTTAATGCCATTGTTATTAATTATGGCAAGGATTTCAGTGTAGATGGCCAGACTTAACTGTGCGCGAAAAATTTCAAGTACAAAATGTTTTTCATGATATTCCTTGTTTTCTTTTAGAAAGCAAACATTTAGCCATAAACTTTCTGATATAAAATGCCAGCTCCATTCAAATCCCACGAAAAGTAAACATATCTGAATTACGTTAAATTAGTCTACTAAGGGCACTACGTGTAACGGAACGATAGCAACAGTAGTGTGTCTAGGGCATGATAACCTAACTTAGCCTATCCATCTTGAAGCTGATTTGAAATTTAAAGTTCTTCTACTAGAACAGTGGTTCCCTAACGGTGCGGGCGCATCATAGCTGCAACGAAAGAGGATAGCAGGTGAGGCGTAAGAGGATAGCAGGTGAGGCGGAAGATGATAGCAGGTGAGGCGTAAGAGGATAGCAGGTGAGGCGTAAGATGATAGCAGGTGAGGCGGAAGAGGATAGCAGGTGGGGCGTAAGAGGATAGCAGGTGGGGCGTAAGAGGATAGCAGGTGAGGCGGAAGATGATAGCAGGTGAGGCGTAAGAGGATAGCCGGTGAGGCGTAAGAGGATAGCAGGTGAGGCGGAAGAGGATAGCAGGTGGGACGTAAGATGATAGCAGGTGAGGCGTAAGAGGAAAGCAGGTGAGGCGTAAGAGGATAGCTTGAGGCGTAAGAGGATAGCAGGTGAGGCGGAAGATAGCAGGTGATTCCTAAAGGCAGGTGAGGCGGAAGAGGATAGCAGGTGAGGCGGAAGAGGATAGCAGGTTAGTCAGAAATGATTCAAAGACAATCAAAGATTTAGAAACAATTTCAAAAAATTCATATGCCAAAAATAAATCTCATTTCAAGATTTTAAATATTATTATGGATTACTTGTAATTGCATCCATGATTCCCAGTATAAATATTTATAAAAAATTATTGACCGATTTTATCATTGTGATATTTTTGGCATTATATCAAGTATTAAGAATATAGTAACTAGGCTCCGCAAATTGGAGGAGAGAGTTAGCAATGATAATATTCTGACTTTGAATCCGCGGTTATCTCCCTTTAACCATCACTTTGAATTTTCTTTGGCCATAGAACTGCCTGTGCCTTTTCATCTGCACTTCCCTTGAGCCGGTGTCTTCGTATATGTACTTTTAATTACATAAAACCTGGTGAAGCGCGAACAAATTTCCATTCCGAAAATGTTGCCCAGAAAAAAATAGTTTGGGAAGCACTGTCCTAGACTGTTTGCCACATCAATCAATCAATCAAATATTCCAGTCTATCCTGCTCTTTAAGTCATCACTAGAAGACAGTGGATTTACGCCTTTTCCAAGGGTCCCAGCGCCATGAGAAAAAAAACAGAATTGACTGGAAATTGAACTCGGCACGCAGATTACATTTTCCGCGCTGGTAACCGTCACTTGTAAACAAGTCAATATTTTGAATGTTTTGGTTCTTTGTCTTTGCTTAGCAACATATCAACACCTCTATGGGTTATTTAATGCCGAAATCTAAATATTTTGAACACAACTGTATGCCTTCAATCACATATAAAATGTATTGTAAATAAATATTGGCTCTAATTTCACTACAAATATGTATTGTCGATAATCTGTTTTATATGAAAATGTATCGATCTTTAGAATACAAAACTAGACCACCTTTGACCAGTTGGGTCAACCTTGTTGTGTTTACTGTTTACATTTAGTTTCATGAAGAATTTGTGAAAGTAGAGATATTTTAAAAATACATTTATTTGCAGTTATTGAAATTGCTTTCAACATTAAAAAAAAATTGAAGAAAGTTGAACAATAAAAGTTTTGAATGTCAAAATTCGGAGTGTTGGGATTCGATACAGTAACATAAAATATTGTTGCCGGGCTGCGCGCAATTCGGCCATTTAGGATAATCAAACGATTTTCATTGAAAGAATAAAATTCAGTAGAAAAGACAACATAGTTTCAACAAATAGATATTAATTTAATATACAAGAATACAAGCAATTGGTCATAGATTGGAAAGTAATGTCTTTTTTTGTTTGGGTACATAAAATTTTGAAATAAAATATAAACGTGTATGTATGTTGTTATATATATGTTTGGGTTAGCAGTTAAGAGGTGGTTACACGCTCCTCAAATTCTTCCATCTCCCGATCGGAAGGCTTGCTGCTGGATTTTGTTTATCGTCATACCCAAGCCTTCATATTTTAGACTGTTCAGAGTCCAGGTTATAAAATATGTTTAATTCTTATAACACTTTGTTACTAAGAATACTAAAAGGTTAATATTTAACCATTTGTGTTTTGGTAAATTTTGACATAAAATATAAATTCTCTTTGTGTATGTATGTTGTTATATGTGTGTTCGTGTGAAAATGTCAACACGTGTCTGCGTGGTTCATAGTAAAAAAGAGGATTCAACAGATAGAATTTTTCTTACTGTGGACGGTGTTGCCGTAGTCTGAAGCGGTCTTTTTTAAATTTATCAGCGCTGTCGCTTTTAGCATGAGGTCGTGAAGTGCACAAGCGAGAGTGGCGTGGACCTTGATGACAGCTGTGCGTATCCTGTCTGAGGCCGGATTTCGTTTGTTTTATACACTTTCTCGTAAGGAAATCGGCTCCATACCCTATTTCTTACACGATGATACATCTTTCTTTTCCCAACTCTCTATATATGACTTGTTTATATCTTACTTTTTCGCAACAAACACTGCCAAACACACAAGATACAAAGTTCACAGAGTTTTATATAGTAATAAGATAAATTTTTATACTTTCATAGATTTTCGTTTTTGTTTGGGGGTTCCCTATTTATCCATAGCTGGGATCCTAACAGGTACTACCCCCCCAGGTTAGGGTGGACGGGCAAACAGCAGTTAAGAGGTGGTTCCACACTCCTCAAATCCTTCCATCTCCCGATCGGAAGGCTTGCTGCTGGATTTAGTTCATCGTCATACCCAAGCCATCATATTTTAGACTGTTCAGAGTCCAGGTTATAAAATATGTTTCATTCTTATAACAGTTTGTTACTAAGAATACTAAAAGGTTAATATTTAACCATTTGTGTTCTGGTAATCTAAAGAATTTGGGTTACGGCACTTTACTGAAAAAAACAGCTCTAGTGGGTGCTGCTTAAGCCTATGAATAAGGAATGATATTCTTTGTGATACTCCCTTTTCTATTTTTCTCTAAGACAATAAAATGTAGTTTGCACATGGTAAAAAATATGTCCCCCACTCGGACACGCACGTTTACTTCACCCTCAGTTACTTTTCTCTCGGATTTCTTCAACACAACCTTCATACACACAAACGCATTCTCTAGTTTAAATGTATTCTTCTTTCATATTCTTTCTTTTGTCACCTGCAACAATCTTCTATTGTCATTGTATACTTTTGGTAAAATTACATTGTCCGTTGTTTGTAGACAGTTTTCTTGTTGTTATATTGTTGGTTTATTACACTCGAGTCCGCAACAATTCTTCAGGGAAAAAATATACCAGGAGACACGTGTTTTCTCCCTAAACACGACTATCATTCCAGCAACAAGTTCAGTTTTATCGTAAAACTGACAGTAACGTCCAATCGTTTGTAAAAAAGGATTTTAAAGATTTTCAAATGAATTTGAAAACATTAGGCTATATCAGACTACACACACACACTTATATATATATATATATATATATATATATATATATATATATATATATATATATATATATATTGGATTGATTAATTTTTTGTAACCCTGGACTTAAAAGTTTTTGCGATCGTCAGATGGTTTTGATTAATTTTTCAAAACTTTTGAATTTATGTAAGTTGCGTGTATTCGTGTTTTTATGGAAGTGGGAGGAAAAATTGTCGGCGTGACGACACTCATTAGCAATTTTTACCGATCATAGTTTTACACAGACGCCACCATATGTGCGTGCGAGAAAATATTATTCAGCGAAAAAAATAGAGAAACCCTCGGCTTGTTGACATCGCTACATTCAAGAGAATTATTGGCTATACGTCCCATCATTGAAATTCAATAATCAAATGCGTACGTATGTACACAACAGCACACATATACAAATACAGTAGCGTCCAAAACTAAGGGACAAAATTTTAAAACCTAATATTTGTTAGAAATAACAACTGTGAAAAGCTGAAATTTTGACAACTGGTAGTCGTTATCATCCATAATAACATACTAAAATTTGAATCATTTGCAAAGGATAGAAAAAGAATTATAACAATTATTTATTTATTTTCAAAATAGGATCGTCCAAAAGTAAGGGACAAAATTGAGAAAAACAATGTAAACAGTATGCTATATTCAAATTTTTTGATTTCCTCTAAAGAATAAGTCTTACTTAGTCATTTGTAAACGTTGCATCAGCCGGCACCATGGCGAAACGCCAAAAACTTGATTAATCTTTGAGACAAGCTTTTTGTGAAGCTACACAACAAAAAGCACACCATTAGAGAGATTTCAGAGAAAGTGAAACGTTCCAAGAGTGTTGTAGGCAGGGTTGTTAAATCCTACAATGATACTGGCAAAAAGTTAGTGCTTTTAAAACCGGCAGACCCGCAAAACTTCGGCAAGAGAAGATCGAATAATGCAGCGTATGTCATTAAAGGACCGTTTTAAGTCTTGCACAGAAATTAAAAGGGTTATGAATAGTACCTCATGTGTTAATGTGTCAAGACAGACTGTTTGTAGACGACTGCAAGAAATAGGGCTGTTTAATCGAACCAAGGGAAGAAACCACTTGTTAGTTCGAAGAATAAGAAGAGATTAGAGTTTGCAAACAGGTATGTAATTTGGACATATGAAAATTGGGCAAAAGTTTTTTCAGTGATGAAAGCAAGTTTAATTTATTTGGAAATGATGGAAAAAACAATGTAAAGAGACGTATTGGTGAAAGATTAAGTGCAAAGTGTACTAAGAAAACTGTCAAGTTTGGGGCGGAAGCGTCATGGTATTTGGAATGTTTTCTAGCCAAGGTACAACGCCTCTTGTCCGGTTACAAACTCGTGTAAACGCGCAGATCTATAAAAACATTGTTCAAGATCATGACACATTGCCAATCATACAGAATTCAGGTTTCGATAGGGCTACCTTTATGCAAGATAATGCCCCATATCACAAGGCAAAGGTGGTAATGAGTTACCTTAGCGAGCAAGATTTGAAATTATGGATTGGCCACCGCAAAGTCCTGACTTAAATCCAATAGAAAATCTTTGGAAGACCTTAGGAGTGAAAGTTATGGAACTTTCCCACTAACACGGAGGATTTGTGGGTCAAGCTTCAAGAAGAATGGTCTAAAATTAGTATCGAGGATTGTCAAGTTTTGATTCGTTCTTGTAGTCGAAGATGAGCAGCTGTCATTGAGAGCAAGGGCTCATTTACTAAATATTGATTGTACATGTATTTTTATTTTTTTTTTTGTCGTTTACATTGTTTTTCTCAATTTTGTCCCTTACTTTTGGACGTTCCAAATTTGAAAATAAATAAATAATTGTTATAATTCTTTTTCTATCCTTTGCAAATGATTCAAATTTTAGTATGTTATTATGGATGATAACGACTACCAGTTGTCAAAATTTCAGCTTTTTCACAGTTGTTATTTCTAACAAATATTAGGTTTTAAAATTTTGTCCCTTAGTTTTGGACGCTACTGTATATATATATATATATATATATATATATATATATATATGTTTATGTATAT